ATTTATTTTATTTTCGCAATGTACCTTTTATATTTTGTATCTTTTGTAGCCCTGATGAAGACCTGCAAGGTGGGTCTAAACGTCGGCGTAATAAATTAATAATACTATTTTTATAATTTAGTATGTATTTGACTGCACCCTCCGATCAACTCCTTCTCATCTTATATCACGGTCAACCATCTCTATATCACGATAAATATTATTGATTGTAATAATAAGTATGTGTTAAGCTCAGCATTAAATATTGGAAAACTATCTTTCGCTTGCAACAAAGGATGATTAATTATGTCTCAGACCGTTATTATGAACTATTCATAAAACGTGTACCTCTAGAAAATTTAACATTAAAAAGGTTTTCAAAAATATAGTATTGGGTAAAATATGTGCCCCTAAAAACAAATGAGTCTGCTACAAAATGCTGTAAAACAGGATATACAATAATTGAATATAATTCAAATAATTATTTCATCTTCATTAAAATAAGCATGTTAAGTTTCTAAGTTGATCAGTAAGCATCCCAGGGTATAGTCGGGACGAAGGTGGTTGAATTGCGCTCACCAGAACTGTAAGATTTGTGTTTTTATCTGAAAGAAAAGGATTATCCGTAGTTAGAATTGAAACTATCAAACATTTTTTTTTTTAAAATATAAAATATGTATTTGCGACTGTCAACTTATTGTTATGAGCAAATGTGATGGCGATACATGATATGACATGACAGGCATGGGGAAATACTCAACAGTATCTCTTCCCTAACTTGTTACAATTACTTATTTTGTCTAAGGAAGGAGATGTCTCATCCAACGCCTTTTTTAGTCTCCTCCTCATGGTCTGAGGTATGTGAGCTGTGGCCATGTCTCTTATAAGTTGAAATTAATTTTATTATTGTTTGTTCATTTTTTTTTCTTTAGAAACGTAACATTCTATTTCCTACTTTCTTTCCTCTTGATGATAACCGGACAACAAGTTATTTATCTTTGGAATCGACAGGCGCTCCTATGTCCCATGTCTTTAATAATTGTTTGTTTATGTCAGACAATTTTCATTTCATTGTTCATTGTTAGGATAGGAAACGTAACGTCCCAGAATACAATTTTCTCTTCTTTCTTTTTTTTTCTAAATATTTTATCATGTATCTTATTGAAAAGATTAGATCCAGCTTCTTCCATTGCCTTCCATCATAATGCAATCTGTGTGGATCCATCAGAGACAAAGGAGGAGGTATAAAAAGGCACCCCCATTGGGGTATTAGGAGCCGGTGTAGTGGTTTGTCCCAGGCTGCGCTCGTGTAGCTCCGCCGGAACATGGGCCTTCTTTAAATTTACATGGAAACGGCCCATGTCTTACTGCTTACCTCTAGGCCCCGCGTGTGTACTCTGTTTGTTTTGCGGCTATCTACCCTTCCTCTTTTGTATACATTACACCTATCTTACAAGTATCTCATATTTTATATAATAAAATATGTCTTAAAGTATTTTATCTGATTTTTTTATCGATACAAGTATTTTTATCTTTTCTTGCTTGGACTGTTCGAGTATCGAAAGTCTCGAAAAAACAAAACGTTTATAAAACTTTGGAAGATGCGAATAAAAACAAATATTGATCCCTAATAATATATATCTCATATATATATATAATAATATAAATGAAAAACACAAACAACAATAAAAAAACAGTATAAATTCAAAACAAATTTTCAATGAGTATAACGATGGTTAGTAATTTACAAAGAGTTGTGAAGATTTTTTTCTAAAAATTTCCATCTAAATCAAATGCTAAGACTTCTAAATTCATTTCTCTCAAAACTAGAGCTTAAAAAGAAATTGAACACATATAATTACTTACTAAAACTTATTTGTACTTATGCATCACAGATAATTGGAACAGCTAAAAAGACTCACATAACCAATCTTCATATCTTTGAAGCAATTCAGGAGAATTACAAAAGCACATTGGTACTGAAGCAACATAACCTCACACGTTGACCTTCACTGTTAACGAACATATAGGATCAATCCCATGACAAATGAAAAAACTCCCAAACATGAATGACACGGCCACCACACACATGCTATGTAACGTTCTCAGAAAGTTTAAGAAGAGCTGGATGAGGGACCTGCTCGCCTAACAATTAATGTAGATTAATCTATGTGTAGATCTCCGCTAATTCATTGACCCTCAGTACTATTATGATAGGCATGATTAAAAAATATATACAAGTTAAAAAAATCCATCAGACACACAATTCATTAGATAAATACGATAACTTCACAAAATCAAAGTGAGTGGGGTAGCTCAGTGAGTTAGATACACGGAACGTATGCTCATTTTCAGGTCCGTTAGATAATTATTTATTCTCCTACAACAGCCACGGATCGACTTTGGTGTCTAAAGACCCTCTTAGGACACATTCAACCTTCTATAAAGATTTAATTTAATTTTTAATTAAATAATTATTTAAGGAGAACAAGTTTCCGGTTGAGCGTAATCACCTCTTTTTACAACCGAAACAGTTCTTCCTGCCAATACTCGGCGACTATTTGTCCGATTTTGGTTAATTTTTTTTATTGTTGTGTAGAGAATTTTATTATTTAAATAAAGATATTAATGATATACAAGCCAAAAGAAAAATGTTTCTTTTTTTTGTCATTTTGCATTAAACGTGACGTTTTTTACATTTCTTTTCAGGGAAATATGTTTATATATACATACATATATATGCATATAAAGGGCTTCAAGAAAACTTAAAGCAAATTAAGCCTTAAATACTTTAAATACAAAAACTTTAGAGCCGCTTTCGCCTAAATTATAAATAATCAATCTATAGAAAAACAAGTAATTTATCCGACATAGATATCTAAAAAAAAATCTTTCAGTAGTCTCGGAGAATAGCTGCAGGCATTTACATTTTTTTTTTTAAAGTATATGGAATACCAGTGACGCGGCTGGGGGAAAAGCAGAGAAGAACAAAACTTGATTCAGAGACCCCCTGGGCCAATGTAAATATTGCGAATATGTGTGAATGTGTTTTATTTATTTTATTATCATTGAACTTCAATCTAATGTTTTATTTATCTTGTATATATGTATATCAATTATCTTTTTATTATTTACTTTATCTTTATATTTATTTGTATATATATTTTTTACTTTAGTTATGCATCTTTACTTTATTTTCGTATTAACATGTTATGTGAATGAATGGTATAGCCCTAGTACCAATGCCCTTCAGTGAGGCAGACTGTATTGCAACTCAATAAAACCATTTAAAAAACAATGTATATGGTAGTAGCTTTTGTTTCATTTATCAGCGTTTCGACCTGCCGATGAGGAACAAATATATTTTTTTTAAATTCGATTTCCAGACTCTACGTATGCTCAAATTATTGTTTATTTCTTGGTGGAATACTACGGTTCATTTTTGATAATAAACCACATCTCAAATCATAGTCTATCATTCCTACAACGTCTACCATTTACAAATTTACGATTATATGAAATGAATGAATTAGTCTTTATTTATGCAACCTGGAGTTTTTATGCACACAATATTTTTTTTATAATAATACATATATGAATGTATAACTCAATATACATTATACATGAAATAAAATCAAAATTATATATATATATATATATATATATATATATATATATATATATATATATATATATATATATATATCCTTTCGTAGTATAGGATCTCCCTACGATTATATAAGGTCAATTACATATTCTAAATTACATTCCTGTCCTTACGATATATAATCATACGACGTCGCCCGGATTTCCTCTCCTTTCCATGAATGGACCATCCAATTAGATCGTTGTCCTCAGCCGATTGTCCGCTGGTGGCCGTTAGTATGCAGAAGGCTTGCCCTTGTATTCTTTTCCAATTGTAAAGGAAGGAAGCACTTATTCGATCCAATCTCCAACACGGATAGGTTAACTGCTTCATAAAAACTTTCACAGGATAGACAAGGAAACAAATATCAACTCAACCAAAGCATGTAAGTTAAAAAAAAAAAAATCACTTAGTTTACAGATGTCAGTGCTTGTAGTTCTCCTTATCAACCGATCTTTTTTTTCAAAAATTATAAAGAACTTATGTATGTTTATATATATATATAAACACTTCAAGAGTTCAAACTTAAACTAAAAACCTTGCGCGCGTTAGACAAAAGTAAGACGAGGTAAAATCCATTACGCGTCGGAATTAAAAATAGTTGAATCAAAGAGTTCTACAGTTTATTTCATTTTGGCATTTGGAAGACCTGTACAATTTAGGGCCTTTGTTTTGTTCGTATTTAAAGATATTTAAATATTTGCACATTTAATTAATGTATAAATAAGTTTTCTTAGATTACAAATAAAAGTAAAAGAACATAATTTACACTGGATTGACTGTTTTATGTTTTGTAAAATAAAAGGACATTGTATTTTTCAACAGATTAATAACCCATGGAATCAAACTTTGTTGTAATTTAAACTGGTCTTCAAGGAGAACAACCACTAAAAATATAATAAGTTTAAAAGAGGTTTAAGTCAAGAACTTTCTTTGAGATATCCAATCCTTTAGGAAAAGTTCCAAAAAGTTATAGAATAATAATAGATATTTCTCGGTAAGTAACAGCATAACAAACTTTCCTTGTTAACATACTGTTAAATATAGTGTTTTCGAAGGATATCTATATTTAATTTCTATTATATGCTCATTTAAAAACATGAAATTAATACGCTCATTAATTAATATTGTGATAAAGATACTCGACTATTTCGTCCAACAATCCATATTTAAGATTGTGTACACTGATAAGAAATTTACGGGTATTTGTATTGGACATTCAAAGCTTAGGTTTTGAATTCGTTCCAAAATATGTGATAAAGTTATATCTTACCTATTTCCTTTTTCAACAGTTTATCTCAAATTCAAACCAACCATCCAACTCAAATAAAATGACAAGGGATATGCTGAAGATTAAGAATTTAGTATTTCACGCATGAGGATGGATATTACCCAGCACCACCGCTTCCTGGTCTTGAAAAAATCCCTCGTTCATGAGTTCTCTCGTCGAGCTTATTTTGAGTCGCCTTCTAATGGACATGTCAGCCGTAAGTCGCAGTCTAACGGTTAATCAATCTGTTTTATGTTCGTGAAGTTTAGTAATAAAGAGGACGTACTTGTTGGGTGCTGTAAGTTGGGATGTACAGTTTTTTTTTTTGTGCAATCAGGAAAAATATTGACAATTTAAAGCATTTTAGACTGAATCATTTTGAATTATATCATAGGCAAATAATTCCTTTCGGTTCTTCTGTTTGTTTTTATATCACTATAATACACTTCTTATCTGATGAATTAATCCCTGAGGTGGATTATTTATCCTGTTTTTAATATGTCAACAACTATATCTGTTAACTCTTGTTAAAACTAGCTTAGTATTATGTTTGCTATTGCATTGTGAATATGGAAAATAATATTCGTAATCGGCAATTTTTTGTATTATATTAAAAAGGTAAGCGTGCTGCAGAAGATCATAGAAAAATTTACAGTGTTTATGGAGATGATGCTGTAACCGAACGCATCTGTCAAAATTGGTTAGCCAAATTTCATTCAGGAAAATATGACATCGATGATGCTCAACGGTCTGGTCGCCCACATGAAATTGAAACGTTCAATGTTAAAAGGCCATTGTTGTTCAAAATCCGCAATCGGTGCGATAGATTGCTGTGACTCTAAATGTGTGGCTCACAAGCTTAGACAACCATTTGCACAAGCTCAGTTATGATTCTAGGTTTAATGTTTGAGTTCCTCACATGATTTTTTTTTAATTACAAAAAAAATTATAACTTCAATACGAATTTAGCTACCTACAAAAACTTTTGCAGGAATTTAGAGCCACTCATGACAATGACAAAATGACATCAACAAGACCTTCTTAAACAAGCTACAACCTAATATAAGGGAATAATAAAATTCTAAAAGGAATTTTTGTTTATTTATTCCTTATGTAGGCATTAAATAAAAAAAAACCATTTATACGGCTTTCAAGAGCAATAATTCAGCTTTCCAATGGATATAGTAACATAGAATTTGGAGAAGATTCTGAAGAGTTATGAATAATCGGAAGGGTGTTGTCTTCCACTACAACTAGTGTTGTGTTCCACCAAGACAACGCTAGGCCTTCACCTCATTGGTCACTCGCAATAAATTATTGAGCCTTGGATGCGACCTTTTGCCTTACCCTCCCTAGCTCTAAGTGACTACCACTTATTCCGGTCTTTGCAGGACTCCATGAATGGAAAGAAATCCCAAAAGGAAGATGACATCAAAAACCACATGGATCAGTTTTTTTACAATAAATTCCAGACATTCTGTGAGCATAGCATTATGCAGTTAGTGGAAACGTAGGAAAAAGTCATATTAAATAATGGTCAATATATTGTACATTCAAATACATTTTATGTCTATAATACATTGAGTTTTATTCCATCATGAAAAACCAAAAGGACTTATTTGGCAACATAATGTAATAATGAAAATTGACTGTTGTTGACTTTGTTTGTTTGTATACAGCTTTGAAGAATAATTAATATTGTTCGCTTAATGATATTAAATTACCTGCTTAGCAAGTAGAAGACCCGTAATATCTCGGTGTAGCGAAGACAAAAAGCCTTGGAAAATTTCACCCTAGCACTCTGAGTAACCGGATACCAGCCTTTTAACCCCGCCTACCTCCCACGTTGGATCTTTCCTCGCAGAAAATTAATACGTAATGGCCTCAAGAAAATATATACTTATGGAGGGAAGAGAGCATAGGAGGGGAGATGGGATTTATATCAAAACCGAGTTAAGAAATATTGTTGCCCTGATCGGAGATATTCACTCAATAGGAACGTGGCTCTGTTCTGCCTTCCAAGTCCAAGGTCGATTAATTTTCCAGCGAGCGCAGCTGTGTTGTATAAACTGTATTTACGATATCATATACCAAGGAATCTTTCGGCTATAATTAATTTTATTCCCCAATATTTTACAAAAATTAAACCTCGTTTATTACTTGACGATTTTCATTCAAAACAATTCAAGCACTAAGTGCATGGTTCCTTCATAACGAGGTAGGGAATTTTATTTTCAAGCTTAGTAAAATCTCTAGAAATGTGAATCAAGAAGTAAAAGAAGCAAAAATTAATAAATATGTTATTCAAAAAGAAACTTTATTATCCAAAAAACTTAAATAATGAACAGAATGTCAACTAACTATATTAAATAAGCAAGAGATAGAAATAAGAATACAAACATCACCAATTCGATTACTCAAAATAGTTAATATTCCAGCATTATAAGACTTATAATTTTGATAATAAATCGTATGAAACCAAACCCAGTCCATCCCAACCCATCAAAATTCTAATTAAATTAGGACTAATAATTAAAAATATTATTGACAAAACAAATAATAAAACAATAAATAAAAACCGAAATTTAAAAATATCATTTTATATATATATATATATATATATATATATATATATATATATATATATATATATATATATATTATATATATATATATATATATATAAGATTAATAAAGTCCCGCTGTAACTAACGTAGAAGAATACGTAGAAGAAGAATGCTGTGACTAAAGCAGAAACAGAGGTAGATGCAGCTATATCTGCTGGTAATCAAGAAGAAATCCGTTTGATTTGTAGTTAATGAAATATTATAAAACCTATAAATGAAATCGGGAAATGAGGATAGCAATTAATTATATTAATTAATAATCCAACGTGTTCCACAGCATTTGGGTATGTCAGTTTAACAAATTGTATCGATATTATGTATTTATTTTTATATAATGTATAAACTTTATGGTTTGAAAATCTGAACAAAGCTTATTGCTTCCTTCTTTGTTCAAAATATCTATATTAGGAATTATATTTATTAATTAAACTCTTTTTCATTTGTTGAAACTATTTGAACGAGTAATCTAATATTCTGTCACTATTGGAAAAGTATTTATAATGTGATAGGAGACAGGTTTAAACCACGTGAAAGTTTTACTAAATTATGTTATTTTTGTTTTAACCATTGAATAAATTGTTTATTAACGTAATTAGTAATTTTGAGAATGAATTAATTGGTTAAAATTAAATAGTTTATTAATTAAGTAGGGGTTATGTGTAATGTAGTTGTTGGTTTAATTCGTCGATTACAAATTAGTTTATTAATTATACGTAATAAATATCGATTAACTTTATTAGTTAATAAAATTATTCCAATATTTGGCTATGAAATTTATTAATTCTGTCAAATTGTTTTCTGAGGATGGAGAAGATACATAGATGGATTGGAGAAGATAAAAACAGTGTCTTGGTCCCAATTGATAACAGAATCACTTAAGGAGAGTTTGTATTTACATATCTTACAAAAAAATTAAATGAACAAACTATGGTGAACTAATATTTGTTGATACACTTTGGCAATCAATCCTATATCTTCAAGATTCGTTATTTCAGAACAAGAATAAATGATAATAATAAAAAAAAATAGTATTATTATGAGTATCCATTTTTTTTTAATTACATGGCTAAATACACACTGAATAGCATCCAGAAAATGTGGATGAGTTGCGAGAGGACTGCTCCGGTTAAGTGGAACAAGCAGCGGTGGTTGTCGCACTCGCTCATCCCCTATTAGAGGAAATCCCGTTGCCATCAACCCGCCCTCTTCGCCCTGATTAGACCATCGACAGCTTTTTCCCCATCCCCTCCTTAAAGGACTTCTTATCCCTTCGTAAAAAAAAGCTAAGTCGAAATAAAAGAGAACTCATGTCGGATATGGGGTGGAAAAATCAGCTCAAGTCTTATGATCCTTGTCTCAGGATTCCAATGCTTCTAGATCCTAAGCCATCCGAGAGTATTTCGAAAATGTATTTTATTCAACGAAATAAGCCGACCATCAGAACAGGTTTTGTTAAGTTGCCACCAAGCTTAGAAGATAATGATTTTTTAACATTTGCATATGTATAATCAATTAAAACGCTATAATGCTTAATTATATTAAGACTTGATGAACTAAGACTCTTTCAGTAAAAACAGGAATTCTCTAAAAATCAAATGAAACTTCACTCCAGTGTTATGTAAAGTGTAAGCTTTTAATTAAACGTATTAATAATATGGATCAAATTATACACAACCAACACCTACTAAAATATGTATAGAAAAAGTTTGATTCTGAACATTGCGTCTTCTGACATTGTAAATATTGTTCATACTATAAAAAATACTTCTATCACATGCACATTTCACCAATTAATTAGGATAAATAATAATAATAATATAATAGTTATAATTATAATAAAAAAATTATCGATGACTTATGTCGCTTATGCAAAAAGGCGCTTATACAAAATTTCAATTCAACATGTAACATCGGGATACACAATACTTGCGGGTAAGGAATACTTGCAGAGTCACAGCAATGCAACTAAGGTACTGCATCAAGCTATAGCTCAGAAAATGGAACTCGTCGATAAATATTGTCCGTATTATAAATATCATCCAGAACCAATCATCTCCATGCGCAATGTCAAGGTGATCTGGGATCAACCGATTCAGACCGATCACCCCATCCCCCACAATAGACCTGACGTTCTTGTAATAGATAGAGGTAAGCAATCTGCGTTTATCATAGAGATTGGGGTTCCTTCTGATGATAACCTACACAAGGTAATAGCGGAAAAAAGAGAAAGAATTAGCTGAAGAGATGAAACAATTGAATCAGTTAAAGGAAACCCGAATTATGCCAGTTGTAATCTCATGCAACGGACTGATACCGGAAAAAACTCTTATATTCTCTGCGACAACTAGATCTCGGACGATCGAAAGAATGCAACTAGCGGTATTGTCAGTACGTGGGGTATAACAAGTATAGTCAGGAAGTTCTCAAATATTAAATAATTATGAAAATATATAAATGTAATTTTTGGCTGACCTAATAGGTCCCCAACTATTTATTAAATATTATAAACATCATTGTTTTTTTTTTTCCTCCCCTTCCTCGCCGTTAAGGCTATACGGGGTTTTCCCGGACCAGCGAGGTGTGCGGGGATTTAAAAGACTCCCTCGGCACCGGGAAGTGAACTCGGCGGGGCTGTGCACACGCGTTACACCATTCGGCCACCGCGCCCACAACACCATTATATATGTGGAAAATAAAGAAGATAATAATAATAAGTAAAAAATTCTGAAGTATCAAAAGCTTTGCGAGGAATTAAGGCAGTAATATCGCCTGGTGGAAGTAAAAGTACTACTCACTATCGTATCCAGGAATGGCTTATTCCTAAAGATACTCTAAAATCAATTAAGGTATATAGATTAAGCTGGGAACTTCGAAAATCCAGAATGCGGCAATGCTGGGAACCGCCAGCATTGTTCGAAATTTTTATAATATTTCAAATTAAATATTCAAGAAACTGTACCCCTGATCACGGTCCGGGTCAGTGATTTTATCCGGCATAAAACCGAGATTTGAAAAAATAAGGCACAATAATAATATTTATTCATATAATTTTATCATCATTTATATTGATTTTAAAAATGATTATATTAACTAAATTTTGTTATTTGCAGGTATGTGAACAAGAGAAGAATTAAAATACCTCTAAAATTCGTAAGTTGGTCATAAAATAGTTAAACACTGATTTGATATTTTACATTTGTGATTTATGG